ATAATGAGAAATATTTTACTTATGGCCTTCTTGTAAGCATTAGATTTTATCTTCTTTTCCCCACCGACATTTGCATTAATGGGTTTTCAGAAAGATGATCTTTTTGTTAAAAATGGTGCAAATTGGGGTTGGTTGTTTGTTCCTCTAGCAATACTTGATCAATACTAACCAATAAAGAAGGGATTTGGATAGCTAGCGTTTCAGGGTGGCAAAAAATTAAATTTTGGTCCTTTAAATTGGTTATTGTCCAGTTTTGGTACGTCAACTTTCTCCTCATCGAAAATAGTCCACTATATTACAATTTTGTCAACTTTAGTACAGTAATATCGAGGGATCGAATTACGTGATGACGTGAACAGGGATTGAAACGACGTGGATTTATATGACTTTTTTTTTTTTGGTACGAGAAAGGAAAGTGAAGCAAAAGCTAACGCTCAATCACGATCTGACGTGGATGAGCAACGCCAATAAGATCATGGTGTAACCAATAACCCGCTCTTAAAAGGAGGACGATCAAACCGATGTAGACCACCTGCACCCTATACCACAAGAGAAGCCAGAAAGTCCGCCACAAAGTTTGTCTCACGGTGGCCATGAACAATCTCCAGGTCCCACGGACGACCCATCAACTCTTTAATCCCCCTATACTATGCGGCCCAGGTAGCTCATCACGATTAACCATCTCAATAATATTTTGGTTATAAACTTCCGCTACAATTTTACGAGCCCCGATATCTCATGCCAGCTGCAATCCCTACAAACCCCTGAGTTCAGCCCCCACGATCGAGCAAAACCTGATATTCATCGTAAAACTACTGACCCAGGCCCCATGATGATCTTGCACAACTCCTCCAGCACTAGCCATCCCCGTAGTCGGAACAAAGCTACCATCCGTGTTAATTTTTAAAGTATCCTCCGGCGGAGCGGGCCAAGCGAGCCACGAGAAAACTTCACGGACTCGCTGATTCATGGTAGTCTCCATGCCTTCGAACACCATAAGGTTCCGCCATGTCCACATTCACCATGCGGTCAGGCCGAATAACGTAGGCCAATCATCAACCTCCGGTAGAAGACGACCCGTCAGATTTTGCGATAGCCATTCCCAGAAATTCAAAGAAAAAAACACCCTCCATTTCTTACGCGGAATGATTTTGAAAGATTTTGAGATCCTCCATGAAAGAGATCAAAGGCTTGAAAGGAAAGAATAACAATTCTTGGATTAATTTTCATATCTATATTTTTTAATACCTCACACCACACTTTACATGGTCTCCTATATAGGATTTCTTGAGGAATAATCTAGATGGTGGACACCTCACCAACCTAGTACAAAACGGATAAGAATCAATAATTCAAAAATAAAAAAAATAAAAATTGTCTTCTAGCTTTTCTGGTATATGCAGGTGCTGTTAGTTGCAGCATTTTGGCTGCATGTAAGTGACGTGGCGTCCATGTTTGCCAAGCATGATGAATCATCTTTGTGGGCCAACATTGTTATAACTTTAACATCCCCCCTCAATTCGGAAGTCGACTGCAAATGAACGTTAAGAGAGTGTCGCAGCCGAGAGAAGAATTGTCCAGTTAATGGCTTGGTGAGCAAATCAGCAACTTGATACAGAGATGGTACATGTTGGACAGAAATGATTTTGTTGTTAACCTTCTCACGAAGAAAATGCATATCGATCTCCACGTGCTTAGTTCTTGAATGGTGAACCGGGTTGGAGGCTAAAGAGATGGCTCCCCTGTTGTCTACCCAAATGGTTGAAGGGGGGAAACATGAACGTAGAGTTCTCTCAAAAGGGGCTGAAGCCAGATAACATCACACGTGGTGGAAGCTAAGCTGCAAAGTTCAGATTCGGTGCTAGACCGTGAAACTATGTTCTGCTTCTTGGAACTCCAAGCAACCAAATTTTTACCAATATATACACAAAAGCCAGATGTTGATCTTCTGTCATCAATATCAGAGGCCCAATCCGCGTCAGCAAAGGCTGTAATCTTGGTGCAAGGCCCTTTGAAAAATTTTAGGCTGTAGTTCAAAGACCCAGCCAAGTATCTGAGGACTCTCTTCAAAGCCTTCATGTGACTTGTTGATGGATTCTGCATAAATTGGCTGAGTTTATTGATGCTATAAGATATATCAAGTCTCATGATGCTAGCATATTGCAATGCCCCAATCAAACTTCGAAACAGATAGCCATTCTCAATAGGTTGCCCATCAAACTTAGATATAGGAACACTGACCATAGGAGTACTCAGAGGTTTGGCTTTCTCCATTCCTGCCTTTTTCAGTATATCAAGGATGTATTTTTGACTGAGAAAACAACCATCTGGAGTGTGTTGCAGCTCCATGCCAAGTAAAAATTTCATATCCCCAAGATCCTTTAAGGAAAAAATTTTGGACAGATTCAAGAGAAGTTGTTTGATCACTGCATCATCACTACCTGTTATGATCATGTCATCCACATAGGTGAGAATAAAGGTGGAATTGTGTGGAGTATGTCTGAGATAGAGAGAAGGGTCCACTTTAGACGCACTGAAGCCAAAGTCTCGTAACACTCTGCCAAGTTTTGAAGACCAAGCCCTTGATGCTTGTTTAAGACCATAGATAGACTTCTTGAGCTTGCAAACAGGGGGTTCACCATCTTCATTTGTCTTTTCAAAGCCATGAGGTTGATCCATGTACAGGTCAGTGTCCAAATCTCCATTTAGAAATGCATTGTCAACTTCTGTTTGTCTTAGTTTCCAGGATTTGGATAAAGCCACTGCAAGGACTGCTCTTATGGTGACTGGCTTTACCACAGGACTGAAGGTATCAGTGTAGTCAAATCCTGCTTGCTGAGTAAATCCCTTTGCTACTAATCTGGCTTTATGCCTTGCCACTGATCCATCTACATTCCTTTTAAGTTTATATACCTATTTGCAGCCTATGATGTCTTTATGTTGGGTGCCTTGCATAGTTCCCAAGTGTTATTCTTCAGGAGGGCTGTATACTCATTTCTCATAGCTTCTTGCCATTCCGGGGAATTGGCAGCCTCCTTGAAGTCCTTTGGTTCAGTGAATTCTTCTTTCTTCTCAAGGTTGAAGGTTCTTGGTTTAAATATTCCATGCTTTGATCTAGTCACCATATGATGTGTAGACTGCCTGTCATTCTCATTGTTACTCAGATTAGGATTAGTAACATTCTCTCTATCATTGTCAATTGGCATATCTATAAATATTTCACCAATAGGTATGGAAGAGTGTTGAGAGGAGTGTGAATTCTGAGAGATATGGCTATCAGGTGGAGAGTTGTTGTGGGTTATAGGAGTACGATGATTAGACATGTTTGTTTCAAGTGGTGCATTTGAGGTTTTGGTTGTGGGTGGTGGCAAAGTGAAGATTACCTGAGGGTGAGTTTTTGGTTTCTGTGAGGTTTGTTTTTTGTCATGGAAGGGAAATTTAGTTTCACCAAACTTGACATGCCTGGTTACAATGACTTTGTTGTTAGGCAAAAGAATTTTGTAGACCTTATATTGGTTGCTATAACCTATGAAGGTGGATGGCTGGCTCCTAAACTCTAATTTATTTTTGTTATAAGGTCTTAGATAGGGATAACACAGGCAACCAAAAACTTTGAGATCATGGTAGTTAGGCTTCTTTCCAGTTAGCAGTTCCAATGGTGATTTAAAGTTGGGGTTTTTGGTAGGCATTCTGTTTATGAGATAGCATGATGTGATGAAGGCATCATCCCAATAATTCTGAGGTAAGTGACTTTGGGAAAGAAGAGTTAGGCATGTTTCGACAATGTGCCTATGCTTTCTCTCAGCTAGGCCATTTTGCTCAGGTGTATAGGGACAAGAAATCCTGTGATTTATTCCATGTTCAAGGAAAAAAGAGGTCAAGGCTTTAAATTCTGTGCCTCCATCACTTTGAACCATTTTAATTTTCCTGTCAAACTGGGTTTCAACAAGTTTTATAAAATGACAAAAGGCAGCAAAGGTGTCTGATTTGGACTTCAAAAGATATAACCAAGAAAATCTAGACCTGTGATCTATGAAATTAACATAGTAAAGGTAGCCATTAGAGGACTTGATGGGGGCAGATCCCCACAAGTCTGTGTGAATGAGTTCAAGGAAATCATAACATTCAGATTGAGAATCATTGAAAGGCAATTTGTGAGATTTTCCTTCAAAACAAGAACTACAAAGATCTTTATTTCCATTGTCAAAGAAAGGGACATTACAACTGATCAAAGCTTTTTTAACAATTTCTAAAGCAGGATGCCCCAGTCTGGATTGCCAAGTGGAGAAGTCTTGTTTTTCTTTGTGGAGAGTATTGATGCTGATTTTGTTTGAAGAAGAAGTTGTAGGGTTGTGATCACCATTGGAACTTGCTAATCTGAAGTTATAAAGACCATTAGAAACCTTCCCTTCTAGAAGAGTCTGACCTGTGGTTTGATCCTTCACAAGGTGTGATATGGGTGAAACTCAAAATAAACATGGTTATCTAGAGAAAACTGAGAAACACTCAAGAGGTTCTTGGTTATGTCAGGAACATGAAGTAAATTTTTCAAAACAAATGAGGATGTGGACTGTGTAGTAGGAAACATAATAGAACTGCCAATGTGAGTGATAGAGAGTTTCTTACCATTTCCCACTTGAACCTTCTCTGAGCCATGATATTCTGATGCAAGGTTTAGGTTTGCCAAGTCATAGGTGACATGATTGCTAGCTCCTGAGTCAGGGTACCATGTGTCAGTTTGACTCCTGTCATCACCATTAGTAGAGGCTGCAACACCAGGGTTCATCAAGCTTGTTGAGTGCACTGTGGGAGTGTAAGACTGGTTTCTGCCATTGTTGTTGTTGGAGTTGTTATGTCCGATGCTTGGCAGGAAGTTTTGATCAAACCTATGCCAACACTTGTCAGCTGTGTGGCCATTGTCAAAGCAAAGTTGGCATCTTATGCCTCTTCCACCATTTCTGCCTCCTCTACCCTAGAGGCTCCTCTTCCTCTTGATCCACCATTACCTCTTCCTCTATTGGAGTAGTTCCCCCTTTCGTTTTGTGAAGTGTGAGCTGCAAAGTTGATGCTTGGTGAGGATCCATCTGTGTTGTATTGGCCTCCTTCAGGGGTAAAGGTCTCAAGCCTTGTCTCAAAGCTTAACAATAGGGACTGCACATCTCTAAGCATGAGAGAGTATGTTTTAGACATAATGGAGACCATCACTGGATTGTACTCCTGTCCCAGACCAGCAAGAATATGCATAGCTTGTTCTTCTTTATTGATGGGTAGCTCTGCAGCAGCTAAGGTGTTACAACAAGCCTTGACTTGATTTAGGTAGTCTCTCATGCTCAGACTGCCCTTTTTGAGTGTTTGCAGTTTAAGTTTGAGCTGCAAGATCTTAGCTTTAGACTGGCTGGAGAAACTGACTTCTAGGCTTTCCCATATCTCCCTGGAAGTTGTTAGCCCAACAGTGGTAACAAGCAAGGATTCAGATAGAGAGGACAAGATCCAAGAGGCCAAAATTTGGTCTTGTCTCATCCAGAACAGAAATTCAGGATTTATGGTAGGTTCATCTTGTGGATCTGACCTAAGCCATTGCTCTGGTTTCCTTTGCTCCTTGGAGATATAGGTTTGCAGACCATAACCTCTTATGGCTGTGAGAACTTACTGTTGCCAGATCAGGTAATTTTTTTCTGAGAGCTTAGTGGTGATAAGCTGACTTTGAGGGAATACTAGCTGGGACTGATCTGTGGTGAAGGTGGTCATGCTCGAGGTAGAAGACATGGTGATGAAGGAAAATGAAAGGAAAAGAAAACAGAGGTGGATCTCAGAGCAACCAAGATAACCTGGTGCTCTGATACCATGAAAGATTTTGAGATCCTCCATGAAAGAGATCAAAGGCTTGAAAGGAAAGAATAACAATTCTTGGATTAATTTTCAGATCTATATTTTTTAATACCTCACACCACACTTTACATGGTCTCCTATATAGGATTTCTTGAGGAATAATCTAGATGGTGGACACCTCACCAACCTAGTACAAAACGGATAAGAATCAATAATTCAAAAATCAAAAAATTTGTCTTCTAGCTTTTCTGGTATATGAAGGTGTTGTTAGTTGCAGCATTTTGGCTGCATGTAAGTGACGTGGCGTCCATGTTGGCCAAGCATGATGAATCATCTTTTGGGCCAGCATTATTATAACTTTATCAAATTCGCTGCCAATTCGTTGTCGCTGCAGCACAATCTCGTAAAACATGCGACGCAGTCTCAACCTCCATTGCGCAAACCGAACCCGACGGACTAGAAGCCATGTGGCGCGACATAGAAGGATTACAGTTTTCCACGTCATCACGTAATTCGGCCCCCCGAGGGTACTGTACTAAAATTGAAGAAAAATGTGACATAGTGGACTATTTTTTATTTCTAAAAAAAGTTGGTGTACCAAAACTTGACAATAGCCAATTTAGAAGACCAAAATTAAATTTTTGTCGATGAATTAATATTGCTAATTAGGTATTTGGACCCAAACTTAATTTGATCAGTTAAAAAAGGATTTTCCAATATTAATCAATGACAAATCATCGATAATATTATAATAATATTGCAATAGTACTTCTCACTACATATATTCAAAAGGTAATTATATACTATTAATTCATGCTTTGAAATATTATGTTAGATAAAAATTTAAAAAAAAATAAATAAATAAATCCTGTTAGTTATGCTAAATGTTTTCTTGTACAATAAGTTAGGTTTAGGCCTTCTATATATATATATATATATATATATATATATATATATATAAGTTAGGTTTAGGCCTTCTTGTTTAGTATAAATTTGATGGGCAAAGGATAACCGAGTTACCCGACTCGGGTCGA